ATTAGTTTTTGATATAACAGAGATAATGATTATTATATTACTGATAGTAGAATATAAATTATAAGGTCTTAATTTTTGTTTTTATCCATTTCAGATTTATGTAGAGACTTAACAAATTTAGTGTGATGGAAAAATAGTGTCATTCAAGATTTTAACTTGAGAACCAAAAAAGAAAAATGGATAAAATTTTTGAATCAATAAATTTTGAAATACATGAATTCATTCTTATTTACTTTATTCACTCTATTAAATTAGTTAAAATTATTTATTAAAAAAAGTATAGGTATTCTTAATATTTATGGTGGATATAATAATTATCAATATAATAAATAAGAATCTATTATTATTCGGAACTAAAACCATTTAATAAATTGAGTATCATTGTTTACCTTTTAAGAAATTGTGGAGACATGGCTATGATTTTAAATTGATTCATACAATTTAAAAATGCAAATTTGAAATCCTATTATATTTAGAACTATAAGATGAAGATGTAAATTACTTTAAATGTAATTCTTTATCTTGTCATATCTATTACTTAATTAATTTTCATTAATTTTCTGATGATAACCCTATCTTAAGGGTAATATTCTTTATCGAATCAAGTTTTAAGCAAATCAACATTAATTGATTACCAAATGGTTGAATAAGTTGAAGTAGACTAATCAGATTAGAATTACCTAACCTTTGGATTTTGGTCAAAATATAATCCATTAGGTAATACAAAATTGAAAGGCGCTTATGAACCACTTGACAGAAACTGCTTTTAAATACTAAATTCTCTTGATTATGCTACTTCAATTCTCAATTTATTTAATTTGATTGCGTCTACGATACCACAAAAGAAATCAAAAATTCATCTAAATAGGATTGAGTTAGACTGATTAGTTTATATTTTCAATACAAGCAGAACCTTCTGAATATGACGATTTCTAGTATTTTTTTAAATTATCACAAATATCTAGAAAAAAAGTGTAAACTAACAATTTATTTTTTAATAAATTAGATATTTAAATAAACTCACTAAATTATTTTCCCTAGTAAGAATTAATAATTATTCTTTAGATTTGGAGGGAGTTTAAAAGTAAAGAATTCAAATATTGCATTAATTGAATAAGGAAGAATATTCTCACTTTATCCAGGCTAATTAATTGTATATAACTATGAGATGAAGAGGATACCAATATATTTTGAGTTTTAGTTTGGAAATTACTGAATTTTATTAAGAAATTAAAATTGTGAATTTGTTGCAAATGTAGATATTGAAAGGAGCAATGTTCATTTTTAGATAAATAGACTAATGTTTTGCAGAATATCAATAGCAATTCATACACACTTGCTGGATGACTATAGATTTCACAAATTCATCAATCTTCTGAAGAATATATTTATTAGTTCATGAAAATAAGTGCAAATGCAGATGGAATGCAAAATGAAAATCTAGCAACATTTCAGTTGTTTTATCAGATTTCTAATGCTAAAATAAAAAATAACATCTTATAAATACAATTTTCCTTCTGTTTCCTAAGACTTTGAAAATAATCCTTATATGATTAGAAGAGAATTAATAATATAAAATGCTATTACTTCATGGTAATATATTTATGCAAATCTGCGTGATAGAGCATTAGATTTTTCAATCATATTTTATGAAGCTTAAAATACTTAATCATATGGAACTTCGATTGATGTTAAATAATTCCATAATTATTAATTAAAATTCACATATGGAAACATTTAATAAAACAATAAGATTATTTAGATGTAAATGTTCGAGATTTACTATTTATCAATTGTATGTAAGATTTAAAATAAGACAAATGTCATTAAAGCTGCTAAGAATGTGATGGCCCCCCTAAGTATCATTGCTTAACTTGTTCTGAAGAATAAAAAAGAATATATATTCCAGAATTTAAATAATGTGCTTGTAAATACGGCACAATTGATTATAATAATGGATACATAGATTATATGGATTAAGATATACAGTTAAATCTTTAGTTTAATGTCAAACAACCAAAAAATTTACATTGTAAAGTAGGTTAATTTGAATTTAATTGTGATTGTATGAAATGGTAAATATATTCTGTATTATTGTTTAGCCCTTAAGGAGTCTACAAAGATTCGCTAATTTGTGTTGAATGTTGTTAAAATGTAGGTTAGCGGAGCCAATCTCCAAATTGTAGAGAAATTTTAGAATTAACTTAAATATCTGGTTAATATCTTATTCCTGAGATCGATAATTTTTATTTTTATGATTCTTCTGATCTAATCTATACTAATATCCTTATTTCTGACAGCCTTGGCATTAGTACAATAAAATTGATATTATAGTTCTTTCTAATATTAATTTTTAGGCTTAAAATCATTATTCAAGATGAGTTTCATTTGTATTAGCATTTTAGATACAGCTCTTAAATTTTCCTTTCTTTTTGTAATCAAAGAGAATCCAGTATGTTTGATTAACATTTATGTTATAATTGCTAAATTAAACATTGTTTAAGTTGCGGTTTAACAATAAATGATAATTGCTTTGTTTAATATGTGATGATTAAAGTGCACTTGTCAATGGTAAATGTAAACGTAGGGAAATTTTTACTTATGCATCATGTTTACCACCATATTATCCATCATTCTCTAGAGAGTGTAAGTTATGCACATTGGAAAATTGCCTATATTGTTTTGAATTCAAACGCCATCCTTCCTAAATCGACATTAGCATTGAACTTGAAGATTTAACTGAAAGTTATGCTGAGACACAGATTGGTTGTATGTAGTGTGAAATAGATTATTATTTTAATTTCAAACTTGGAATATGTTTAAAAATACTCCATCAATCGAGAATTGTGTAATATCTGTTACTAAATTAACAAATGAGGACATATGTTTAACATCTTCCTTAGATAATTTTCAGGTGTCAAGAGAGATTAATAGTTGAGATTTTTTAATAACCAATTTTTAAATCTGTTTTCTTGATTACTATAAGAAATTAACCTGCATAACATGTAAATCTGGTTATATATTATTTGGTTGAATCTGCTATGAAGGTTAAGAATAAAGTGCCTCCTATTTAATTGAATTCTGAAGTTTGAAAATAATAAGTTTTTTAGTTTACTTTTATTAAAATT